CTTACGACAGGTGGTCGCAACCGGAGGTTCAACTGTATAATACATTCTTGCAATCACCAGACAGGGGTTCACTCTCATCAAGGTGGTAAAAATTATGAAAAAAATATATTTCTTTACCTGCTTTTTAAATTTGGTGCATTCATCGTGTGTTAAGGTATCAGCTTTTGCTATCACCGGCACAATATTAACCTGAAATAAACAAAATTCCAATAGTTATTCAAGAAAAACATAATTACATAAACATTGCATGCTTGTCCATGAAGGGCTCCAGTTGCTCTTTTAACTGAGTGTACAGAAACAAAAAAGTGCTACACACCTTGTTGTGAAGTCTTTTCATAAATTCTATATCCAAAGGCTTTAGACTGCAAAGATAAGAAGTGCAATATTAGATTCTGAAACATGCTGTTTTCACCATTAAGCTCCAAACTAGGAGATGAAACCACGGTGACCAGAATTAATCTTGATAGCAGGAGATGAAGGACAATCATTATACAAAGTACTGGTAACGTACATGTAGAATGACGACAAGTGATTTGGAATAAGACATCAGCACAGGTTTGTAAGGAAGATGTAAAGAGAAACAGAAGTGCCTCGACTAAGCAAATTATCTTTGGATAATGTATAGCTCTTACCAGTGCCCTGTTGGAGCAATGAAATACAAGCAACAATGTACTCGGTCATCTGGAAATGGTGTTCTGAACACTCTTGATTCTGCATTTAAATACTCTTCAAATTTGCTGTCAATGTACTCGATAATAGGTTTCCAGCTGAAAGAATAAAATCATTCTGTCACAATACACCAACTAAAAAAAGCACTTACAAGTATACAATACAAGTTAAGTTAAACTGAAGACAGAAATACTTTAGGTAATTTCTTTTCTTCTTTTTACCAGTCAGTGTTGTCTACAGCATCTCCAAACCCAGGAGTGTCAACAATAGTCAGTCTTAACCTCACACCTCCCTCTTTCATCTCAATTGTGGAAGGTTTGATCTGTAATCAGAAACAGCAAATCATTTGGTTTTAGGGAGAATGCCAAAAGCTTTACAAGTTAGTTACAAACATTACTCCTGACCACTATTTCTAAAGGTTCTTTATGTTGCAAGATTGCATAGTAAATTACTTGTAACTTCAATCGCTTCAGTCATTGTTAAACAGGATTACACAGCACAGTAACAGAAGTCGCTCTTGAGATCCACAAAGACCAGCCAAGTACAAATGTACAGCTGCAGGTTGTAACTGCATACAATCATGCAATGCTTACAAACATATTAGGATAAAAATGAAAGAATCCCTGAATTGCCTGAGTTCCCAGGTTTACAGTTAAGGCAAACATCTCAAACATACAAAATGAGAAACTGATGAGCAGCAGTGCCTCGAGGTTCATGCATGATTGCCTACATATACATATCTAACAGGTCTACATTTAGAGCTGCTGTAGCTGCATTATATTACATACATCACGTACTGTATATTATATTTAACAGAGAAAAAAGACTCAATTCCAGCCATTATAAATTAGACAATCATTATTGATCACCACTGTATTTCACAAAGTACTTGTAATCTCTTTCAATGTGTCTTCCAAAATTCTAATTATTTACTACTGGCAGCTCACAGAATCCTTACTAAGTGGCAATATAATGTGGTACTCACTGCAACAGTTTTCTTGAGTCGCTCCTCCACGCTGGGGTAGGCAGCTGGTGTGTAAATATCAGTTAGAAACAGCGAGTTGAGAAGTGTAGATTTCCCTAGTCCACTTTCACCTATGATAAAAGGTGAAACAAGGAAATAAGGACACAAACATAATTCGCACAATTCGCAGGTATTACTTTACTGCCCGACACAAAGGAAACCTGGACATCTACACTAAGGCTGGCTAAGTTCTTAAAGAATCTTTAAGAATCTTTGTCAAGACCTAAATCATAAGATCTTCATCAATTTCTTGATGGATCTTAAAAAAAAGCAAGTCCAGAAGCTGATCAAGGACCTATAGAGAATTTTCAAAGATGATTTAATCCTTGACCTTGAAATATCTTTATTGTTGAAGATCTTCAGTATTTATTCAAAGATCTTTAAACATTCCTCAAATTAATACACTGCAGAACACCCAGGTGAGGAGTTTAACTCTACCACTAGAAATCACTTAATGAATACATTCATGCTCTTCTTTTGGGAAAAGAAAATTATTTGTTTAGAATTTTGATACAGAGTAAGATACTGAATATGTTTGATCTCTTAACACTAGATTAAATAGGGCGGACCTTTTCAAACAAGCTTTATCTAATCCTTTCAATGAGGGTGGTAAAGGGGCGTATAGATCACATTTCACGGAAAATAAAGCAGCCCTTTCACAATTCACAAAAAATACAACATTGGCATTTCACGCTTCACGGAAAATAAAAGAGAACATTTTGGAAAATCACGGTTCATGGCAACTATGGAAATCACGATTCACGAGGACAAAATTAGCCATTTCCCATTTCACAGGGAAAAAAAAGGGCCAATCACAAGTCATGAAAATACCCTTTACCACCCTCTTCAATGTGATTAAGGGTATCCTGAGTGAAGAACTGATAAAAATAATGATTCATAATATTTACTAATAATATAGATTAATTAAAATAATAATAATGATCGTGATTCTCATTATTTTATGAACAGCTTTTCCACTAGTGGCTCTCCATCTGTTAATATCTCACACAAAAAAATACTACAAAAGCTAACCAGCAAAATCACGACAAAAAAAGACTTCAAAATTAAACTGTCACAAAATAAGATAACTTCTGGATTACAGAGCTTGTCACATAACCATGACTTAGTGCAGTAGTTTATGGCTCTGACATTGAATTGGTAAGAGTCATAATAGCATCCAATATCATGTCAGCACAGCACTTGAAACTCGTTTGTAAGAGGACATCAGTTCTTTAATTTTACGGTGTAAGGATAGAGATACAAAGATATATGACATGTTTACATAACATGACAGTTACATTACTGTGTAGCACAAGAAAATGATTAGACATGATTAGATGCAAGCAAGACATGACATACATGTATTTCTGTATTGTTTCCACCATAAGACCAAAACTTCTAAAATTGCATCACAGTCTATGCCATTATTAATTTTACAATGATGTATAACAGCCACAAAACCAAGCTTGTATACATTAGACATCCATTCAAATAGAGTAAAGGTTACAGTGTAATGTACTTGTTACTTTCAATTGATGTTCAAAAATAACTTGGAAAAAGAAACAACATTCATGTCTCAATATCGATTTTACTTCTCACCAATGTTTTGCTAGCACATATTTTTCCTTCAAGAATCTGATGTTTTTGGTCCACTTAATTATGTAAAACAACCCAAAATAAAAATTTTTATTTGGTTTACATGTATATCCCATGTGCATTGTACATGGTACATGAATAAACTGAGATTGAATTATGTTCTTCATTAGCCTCTCTACAAGTTAAATATTAACAGAAACGAGTAATTCCAATATTTTCCTTAAACCTTGGAATTTTTAAAGCGTCAAACTATCCACTATACACATATGCACCTGTCAATATTGGTAAAATCACAGCTTGAATTATAGCAACACATTTTATAAGCTCTCTAAATAATTAGGGAGCAACAGTGTAAACAGGAAACCTCAGAGCTTCCCTGTACTACCCTGGATACAATTTTTTGACCTACAGCATAGACATGTATAAAATCTTAGCCATGTACTGATTTCGACAAAGCATGTGATATCACTGTTGTTAACCAGATGCATTCTAGGTGATGAGAATAAAAAAACGTCATCAATAATTCTTAAGACATATTTTTATTCTACCCCTACCAACAAAGACTTGGAACTACTTACCATAGGACTGTTAAAGGCATTATAAAAAGAGATACTGAATCAGGTTTTTTCAAAAACCTCTAATGATGAAATTTTTAATTTATCACATTTTCACTGGTTGTAACACTGTTCATTAAAAATGACTGAGCTTCAAGTCCGCAAGCTACTTATTTTATACTACTCTATGGCTTCTATGGCTTGTGACATATATTCTATCCCACAGAGTCAATGAAATGTATCACCACCACAAATTTACTGGTTAGAATAACATCACAATATTTTGCACAATTTCATGCTTAGTTTAGCAGAACGTCTAAACACAGATAAGTCATAAATAAATTCCCTTGACCCTAATATCATGTAGTAACAACATGCATTAGAAGAGTAACTGGAAACGTGTTCAGGAGTATATTAAACCAACATTGTTTGCACAGAATATGTGTTTTTATTTTCAAAATAGATTGTTAAATTAAGTAAATTATACAAATACATGTAATATGTGAAAAAACCAAATCTTTGTGCTGTTTTCAAGGCTCACATATCTAAGGAATGGAAACAGGAAGCTACTAATTTAAACCTATATGGTAATAAGTGCAAAATGTTTTCACTCATACAAGTTATAACTGATACCCGCTAAACACGAAAGGGAATTGAGCTCTCAATACAAAATATCAGTTTGTGTTCAGTGGACTTTCAGGAAATACTTTGTTCCCAGCAACAGAGAAACAAAATGTTTGCAAATGACAAGTGAACAGCATTTAACAAAGCATCGTTCATGTACAACTGTGTACTACAGTAACCACACAAGACGGGCGGATATGCCAAAGGAAGTCTCAAAAAAATTTCAATTAAAAGTCACAAACAATGGAGGTGTAACCTGCTGAGCAACCTGAAGGTCTAAAGATTCATGTGGATTATTAACTGTAGAAGGCATACGTAGAAAAAAAATTGTACACACCTTTTCATAGCAACCTTTTCTCATCACATTTAAAACTTCGTTACAAAACTGATGGTAGAATAACGCCTCCTTGGCATAAAATTTGCTTAGTTACAGTACAAACATTCCAAAAGAAGAATCTTAATTGCATCTTAGAGGAAATTACATGTTTGAGGAAAGAAAATATTTGGACAGGTAGTGGTAATGTCTTGAAGCCACAAGTACTATAGTTAAAATCTTTACAACTGTGGTGGTCTTCAATTGCTTATCCACAAATCTTTCAGTGTTAATTTTAACATCTGCCCCAACACAACACGTGGATAATTCACGCCTGAACGTATGTGGTCTTACAAGAAGTAATCAATTTCAAGGCAGATGTAAATTTCAAAAAGAACTTCAATTTTAAGTGTAAATATTTTTTGACATGCAAATTAGATAGACATCGAGTCGGCTTGCTTTTGTACATCACGCGACAAAAAGTTTGACAAGTCTTAAAACTGAACTATGTCTACAAAGCCGATTATACACGGCTCAACAGAAGTTCTAAAATTACGTGACCTTACACCGAAACGACAAAAACTCACGCCAAAATTCCTTTATCTAAAAAAATAACGGCCTCCAAAAACGATGAAAAATGAGCATGTATTAGACCTTGCTGTCATGTCAAAATTTCGTCTACGTAAATTATAGCTTGCACATAAGATAAGCAAGATCCTACCACAAGGGACAATATCGCGAGCCCTTGAACATGAAACTTCCCAGATATTCGTTGAAGAATATTTCAACGCTGATGTTAAATGCTAAATTGTGATAAGAATCACTGGCGTCTCTCAGATAACTCGAGGTTAACCCCATAAGAGCCGAAACATCTTTCATACCAGAATAATATATTCAGACATTCACGCACGTATACCAAGTCAATGGCGGCACGTGAAATGTACCTGTTCTGTTCCTGCTTGTGTATTTTTGTTACTTCTGCATCACAGTGGACCGTTTTGTGAAATTTTCAGGCTTGATTTTTTCATAACAAGCGAGTAAATTATGTTATACAAATATTATCGAGATCCTTTAATGCATTTCGATAATCTCCATCTAAATTGAAAGGAAATACTGAAAGTATTTCGACAAAACCACGATCGAATCAAACACATGGTAATGACACGAAATTTGATTCGTGATTAACAGAAAATCAATTGATGACAGAGGGGAAATGGCATTCAATTTAAAGCTCAATCTAGGCGTCTTCAATGAAAACCTGTAAAGTAACGAAGGCCTTCAAATTGCTGGCAGGATTTCAGTGGAGCGAAATTAAAATTATGTCCTCACGCTATGTTAATAGTTCTGCTCGGTACAAAATCTTACCTCTATTTACAAGATTCGACGGAACGTTCCAGGCGAAAGAAGGAGGAAGCGGCGAAATATGTCCAACAACAACTCAATTTGTTAGGAAATATTTCTCTTCCGTTTTACTACAATGTATAGTGCTTACCTGCAACCATGATAGTGAATTCGAATCCCTTCTTGACACTCTTGCGAAAAACTTGATTGGGAAGATTCGCAAACCCCACATAGCCCTCCATTCCTTTAGCACTCTGTTAAAGAAGAACAAACAACCAAAGCTGATGTTTAGGCACAATAAAACTGCAAGGCAACAAACAAATCGCAAATGAAAGTTGTACTTACTGCTTTTGTCGAAGTTTTTTTGATCGAAGCCATCGTGTATACACACAGTGTGTTTGTCGAGGAGAGAAGACAGAAGACCAGTCAAGATTAGTGTATGGAGAATCTTATAACGTTATAAATTAATGATGGAATTGTATAAGCTCTCCTCGACCCACTAGTGACAACTAAAATATGGCCCCAACCCTCACCAGTGAACCTCCGCCGCAACATCAAACGTCTACCCGTCAAAACCCCAAAGGAACGCCCACAAAAAAATAGTATATTGCAGTTATTCGCTAACTAAACAACAACAAATTACCAACCCATCATTGAACAGAAAATTTTCCGCTCTAAAACTCCTAAAAATCCACACAAAAACACGCCTTCACTGCCTCGCTGAGCTGCGCTTAATGTATTATTTTTAGAGAGCGCGCGTGTGAACTTGCGCATGCTCATATTAGCATTGTTCTGAAAAACCGGAAGTGTAGTAAGCGCAAAGACGTTTCCAGTTGAGCGCTACGCCGCGGATTTCCTTCGAAATGTCACACACGTCTGCTGGTGAGCTAACAACGATAGACAGTTAAATATTTTCGTGTTCTCATATTTACTTTCCATTCGGCGGTGGCTGAATGTCAACGTACGTCTCCGACATATCGCCCACTTGTTGCGCGTCCTTCACAACGTGAGCGTGACAGGTGTTACCCGCATCTGGCAAAAACTCAAATATATTCATGGTTTCCACGAAAAAACAAAGCATTACTCCTAACAAAGGATTATTTTAGAGCAGTCTGAACAATTTCTTCACGTAAATTAAACAATGCACTCCCTGCAAAAAATGAAATTCGCTTTCGTGCGAAACATTCTTGGATCTTCCACCCTTACAACAAAACGTTTAATTATTTAATTATTAAAAATCCCTTTGCCCAGATTTTAGCCGCCAGGCGCTTTCTGATGGAGTGGAAATTAACATCGCCAGGTTATAAATACGCTAGAAACTAGGCTCTGTATAGCCGGCCGCTCAGCTCCAGACACCGCCCGGGAAATCCACTGAAATTTTTGCTTTTGTCCTCTGATTCCAGAAGCCCGATAAATAATTTAATTGTTCTCTAAAATTCTCACGAAAAGTTACCGTTAATAGTAAAGATACCATTTCTACGTACGATTCCCTTACAAAGATCCAAAAACATCCCTTGTTCTCATGAAATATTTTATGTGCAAACCACGGCTCTCAGTACTAGGCTGGCATGGAGCTGCAGAGGCCCTCCCGGTGTTACCAAGTTAAAATGTTTTCATGAAGTCATGTTTAACACCCAGATCTTCACACTTCACGATTAACTAAACGGAACAACGCGTAACTAAAAAGGCTCACGTCTTTTTAGCAGATCGCACGAGGAAAAACATTTCGAAATACTTCGCGCTAAAAAACTGTCCTGAGGCGACACTCCGTTAAACATTAGATGACATCTGATGCCCAGTCCTTCTTTTCAAGACTTCACTCGTTCTCGCTATCTTTCGTCTTTCGGTAGGCCTAGCTTGCGGCAAATCAATGTTTTCCAGCAAGGGAAAATCTATTTTTTTAATCCCAAAATGGACTTCGATGTATGTAAAGACTTTAAGAAGTGCGTCTTCCTCTTCTTTCCTCAAATGGTCTTCCCTGTTTGGCTCGAAGACCGGAAATGCGGCAGAGCAAGGAACGCCTGGAAGATCTGAGTACTACGTCCCTCGGAAATTTGTTCCTATGACCAGAAAAGCACTTATAAGACGAATGGTGGAAGATGAGAACCTAGTGAACACAAAGGACAGACATTACTTTCAAGACCTTGCAGTACATCTGGAGAAAGCCCTAGCTGGAACTTTTCATGGGGTTTTGGGGGAGTTGAAGGTAAGGATCTTGCAACTAATTGGGAAGACTGAAGGATTTAATGTGGTGTATGCCCATGTCAAACATTCATTAAATTTTTAAGTTCTGGCCTGGCTAGAAAAAAAAAAGATGCAATTCACCATAATTTTTACACCGTACAGTTCCAGAAAATGGGCATGCCCAACATGGGTCATGACAGGTCAGTGGGTATTGTGAAGGGGTGGCGAATTGCCTGATTTCAAACCAAAAAGGACTAGGTACGAGTCTNAATAATAATAATAATAATAATAATAATAATCACTTTATTTAAGTGTCGGTGTATTTAGCACTAATGTGCTAATTGGGGACACTGTAACCAAATTTACTGAACCAAATTTACTTTTTGATGACAGATCTTGGAGGAGTTCATGAACCCGATCCATAGTGGGGGTCCATGGACCAGAGCTCAGTGTTTTTTGGTAACCCCATGGTGGGAGTGGGGGGAGTGTGTAGATATTTTCTGGAACTTGAAACATACTAACTTTGCCAGCTATGGCTGTCATCGACAACCAGTGGCTACTTATTTCTTTTCCCCTTCTCCATCTTTTGGTAGGCCCTCTATGATCCACTGAACCCAGACAAAGAGACGTTGACTCTCCAGAAAACCTCAAAGAAAGAAAGACTAGATAATGAATTCTGGTTGCTTGAAAAGTTGTCAAACGTCCTAGACAAGGCTCATTTCTATGAGCTTCCTGTTGAAGACGTACATGAAGCTCTAAAAGAGCATGATGCTGGAGATGGAGTGCTTGTCAGTGTCGACCCAAAAAAGTATGATGTTCTTAGAGTGTGGGTTGTTGGAAAGGAATTTGAGCCCAGTGATACAGGTACATGGTATTCCAGGATTGCAGCTGGCATAACTCGTTGGTTTAAACAACCAATAAAAACCGAGAGGTACAAGAGAGTGGTCATAGCAATTCGTGCCAAGAAACAGACCAAACTCATGCTCAAGTCATTCAAGGATATTCGATGTGCCAACTTGGAACATTTACTTCCTGAAGGAAAGATAAGGATGACACAATTTGATCAACGAATCCTGGCAGGAACATTGGCAGTTGGTGCTACAGGTGTGGTGATCAAGCTTGTTTCTTTCCTGGCAGACTACAAAATCTCATGGATGTATATTGCTATTTCTGTGGCTGGTGTTGTGGCTCTAAGAGCATGGAACATGTACAAGAATAAGAGGAATTCATACCTTGTCCGTTTGTCACAAACCCTCTATTTTAAGTCCATTGCAAACAATCGGGCTTTGCTAACTTTGCTAGCTGACAGAGCTGAAGATGAGGTGTTTAAGGTGACTCTCCTAGCCTACAGCTTTCTTCAGGCATCTTCAAACTTACAGCCATTATCAGGTACATGTCACTTTGGGTTAGGGTTAGCCAAGGTATTTTGTTTATTAAATGATTTGTGTTCAGTGCAAGATTTATAGCCTCTTGGTCAATTTATGGTCATGTGTTTTGTTTAGTTCCAGCTTACCAAAGTTTCATCCTTTACATAAGTCAAGCAATGTTTTCACCACATCATTGCCCGTCTAGCAAGTTTGTTTCGCACCAATTTTGTAATCTCAAATTACAAAAAGAAACAGGACACTTCATTTTCCCCTGGTAGGGTCACCCATGTCTAATAGGTCGAAGGATAGAGACCATAAGCTGCTAGTTTACGCTCTTTTACTTGCCCATGTAGCCCAAAAAAATAAAGATCAAAACCTTCTTTTGCTGTATATTTAAATAGCAAAATGCAAATAGTACCGACCAGTCCATCAGTGGTTACAAGTGCTACATGTGTTTGCTGGTATCAATCCTTTTGACAAACCTCTCAGGTAACAGCAGTACAACAGGTCATGTCTGTGGGTTGTGATCAGTAGATTGTGATCCATTTTGTTTCCTTTTTTCAGGGGTTTGTTTATTATCATAATGATTATTGATGGCTGCAGAAAGTGCAATATTCATTTTTAGTTGGGGTTTGAACCTCAGAGTTCGCATGTTACAGTGACATTCAAAACACACAGAACTGTTTTTGTTAAATAATTCTTACTAATTTTTTCGTTGTACATATTTAACTACAATGTTACATCCTGATCACTGGAAGTTTTGTTATTATTTCTGTTAGGTGGCATCCATGGTACTGGATCACACAAAAGTGAAGGGATGACAGTAAGTGAACTGAAACATCGTGTAGAGGACTGGATGAGCACCAAATTTCAAGTGACACTGAAATATGACCCAACAGAAGCTATAAAACAACTTGAGAACTTTGATCTTGTTGTAACAAAACAAAAAGGTAAGTAAAAACCAGTTCTTACATATTTCTAGAGAAAGATAAGTGGTTTTTAAAGAGATTTGAAGGTCTGGAGAAGTGTGACTGTCACAGTGAAGTTCATGTAATTCTCACATCTCTGACCTTGATGAGGTTACAGTCATTCTAAAGTTCTTGCCCCAGTTGTCCAAAGGATGGATAAAGCTATCCACAGGATAAATCACTATCCAGTGTATAGTGTGGTTTGTTTTGTTAACAATTATCCACTCTATAATGATTTATCCAGTGGATAGTGTTGTCCACCCTTTGAACAACTGGGGCCTGATAATTGTACATTCACTGCTCTAAGATTTTTCATATTTTGGCATGATAAGAGAAACACCTTTAGTTAATTTTCCTCCCAATAAGTAAGTTGAGTTTCCTTTTGTGACCCAGGTGATCAAGAAATATTCAGCGTGCTGCCCATTTTTGATGCATTCGTGAAACTACCAAGTCCAAAAGAATCGCTAAAACTAGCAACCGAAAGAACTGAAGAGCTTGATGTGGAACTAACAGAGGTAACATCTGAAGAAGAAATAGCACAAGTACAAGACAAGCAGAGAGAAGAATTGGAGCAGAAGAAAATGACATGGGACTGACTTGGAATATTGCTTTTAGAGAAGGAAGTCAAGTTGTACTTTTATCAAGAGAGTAGAACATTGTAGATGTTTTGATGGGTAGCTGCCATGCATACTCCCCTTTAGGATTTTGTTCCATGGTCTCAAACAAAAAGCAAGCAAGAAAGTGCAATATTGTACGAGGACAAAAACAAATTGGTGTCAGCTTTTTGTGTGTCTGGCCTGTTATTGACCATGAACTTTGTCATAACATTGTCAAGGTGGATCCACAGCTACTTTGACAATGTTATGCCAAAATTCATGATCAATAACAGGACAGATGCATGAAAAACTGAAGTCAATTTGTTAATTAATCATTGGATACCTTGCCCATTTGTGAGTTAAGATTACAGTTAATGGGAGCATGCATCTTAAGTTTAATTGAACTGTATCATGGCACCCATTGGGGCACGGCTGTTGCATTATCCCCCATATCATTGTTCTTGTGTAATATATTTCAGAAAAACTTTTCAAAAGAGGAATATTTAATAGTTTTATGACAAAAAAATACTTTGGAGTAACATTGTCTTTTAGCATTTTCTATCAAAGTTACGAGAATAAACTTTCACCTTTAAACTAACAGTTTACTGACATTGTATTTTGTGGTTATATGTAACTACGTATTCCAAAGATTAGAGTTCTGCACTGCAATAGTCCTTGAGTGCACTACTGAATATGATGGAGAAACATGAATGGAGGGACATGCTCACAGAAGGGAATGTCTTTCTTCTGGAGGGTGCTGGGTTGAAAGATTTGTTAGAAAGATTTGCCACATTAAGTGAGTGCAGGTGCAAGACAGAAGAATTCATGAATGGGAGAGTGTCTTCTCACATGGTCACAAGAGTGTTTGCACATCCCCACTACCTCCTGCCAACCCAACCTACCCACGCGCCCTATGCAGCTATGGTATCCAGAGACCATAAACTCGCTTACTTGATCCTCTGTGAAGGAACAAGACTTGTCTCTATATGAGCACCGTATGCTCCAGTCCAGTACTGGCCCTCTCTCTGTCAGACAACTTCTGTGTCATTCAGCATGATACAGCCTAATGTTGTGTGTCAAAGACAGGAAGCAGAACTGAACAACAAAATATGCTCGTAATGGGGTTGATGAGCGACATTTCATTACAGTAGAAAAGTCAGGATTTCTTATTGCCACTCTGTTACTGGCATCAAAACAAGCACCTTTTATTAAGCGTAACAAAGGTACCTCAGCTTCAACAGTAAATGATGCAAAAAGGTCAAGGAAGACAAATAGGCTTGGTGAAAGAATAAATACAGTGCACAGTATACAGGGATTACCAAAATGAATCCTTTCCATGAAACTCAACAAAGGAGGTATTACATCCAATGTGTTACAGACTCAGTGTTCACAGTTCACTTCTCACGTAAAGAAACTGTTTGGGCCTCTTGTCTTCATACTTAATTATATATACAGCAATTTGAAATTTCCTTTGAGCACCTACATGCAAATAGCTTTATCAAAATTACAAATATTAAATTTTAATTTCGAAAAAGCAGCCTGTTATATGCCCAAGGTACTTCGCCAGTATCCTCATCTTGGAGTTTTGAGCCCTCACTTTTTGGGCAGTTAAGGGGAACCCTAAAATATTAGCCACTGCTTTTAGCTGGTCGGAGTTGTTTGGATCTGCTCTATGCTGTGACGTTTATTCGCACCTCTTCTGCAATATCTCTCTCTTTGACTGGGAGTTGTACAGAAGTAGAACAAGAGAAGNTATAAACAAATTTTGTGGCGTTTCCAATTATTTATAAATAAGGGGAAAATGGCATAAATTCGGTCTAAATAATAAATTTACAAACGGCGCCCCATATTCAACGATCGAATGAGAGTACGAGAAAATAGAGGGCTGTGAACAGTCCATGTTTGAGGAAGCTTATGTTCAGGCTCAGCCCATCCCCCGTCGGCCACTTCGCTCTCAGCCAGTTCCTTCTCGGCCCTTCCATCTGCGGTCAGGCCCTTCCAGCCGGATCCTGTTCAGTTACAAGCTATGTGCAAGACCATATAGAGACTGTTTGATCCTAATTACTTTCTCTTAAAAATCTCTTTCCAGTTCTTTTGCCATGGACGAGGGACAGTTACAAGGCCTTGGTATCACTCACGTCCTAAATGCAGCACATGGGAAAAAACTCTATCACGTCCACACAGGTCCAGATTACTACAATGAATCAGGAATTATCTACCACGGTGTTCCTGCCTTGGACATGTTCACATTCAAACTCGACCGTTATTTTGACGAAGCATGCGATTTCATCGGGAAAGCAGTTGGAACAAAGAAAACTGGAAAGCTCAACGGCAAGATACTCGTTCACTGTAAAGAAGGCGTGAGTCGGTCAGCCTCGCTTGTGTTGGCGTATTTAGTGAGGGATCAGGAAATGACACTTAAAGATGCAGTGAGGCTTGTGCGGAGCAAGCGTGAAATTTCACCCAATCAGGGGTTTCTTCAACAGTTGATAGATTATTCTTACAAGCTCGGAAGAGCGTAGCTTGTGGAAATTGCTTCTTCGAAGTAGGACGATTAAGAAACAAAATTACAGGCAATGAAACGCATACGTTAATAGTAAATACTATGGAGAAATTTCTATCCTAAGGAAGAATTTTTTGGTTGCATTTACTTGAAAAACCAAACCAATACTGCGCAGATCGTAAATATTGTACTGTTGGTTTGGTAAAG